CCTAAGGGGCCTGCTGTTTTGGAGGGTGGAAATGCTATGTCCACGTCGATTTCGAACCCAAAAGAAAAGCTAAAATCAAAAGTCGATGACGATGGGAAGTTGGCGAAAAAATCTGGGAAGAAGAAGGATGCTGCCCTCCCTTCATTAATATGAAGATAGCCTCGTGGAATATTAGGGGATTTAACTCGTCCCTCAAACACAATGGGGTTAAAGACTTGATGAGACGTAATGACATTGACGTCATGGGGATTTTGGAAACAAAATTGGATGACTCGAAGCTTCCGAGAGTCATGAGAAATAAATTTGGTAGTTTCAACTTTGCAAATAATTTCGCCTATCATGATGCAGGGAGGATTTTGATTCTTTGGGATTTCTTGAAGGTGGATTTGGATGTGTTGGAGACTACGGCACAACTCATTCATTGCTCTATTACTTGTAAGGTAACTTTGCGTACCTTCTTTGTTAGTTTTGTGTATGCTTTCAATACTATTGTACCCTGTAGGCCCCTTTGGCATGATCTTGAAGTCTTTGGTCTTAATTGCTCTTCGCCATGGTTGGTTCTTGGGGATTTCAACAATGTGCTTCATTTTGATGAAAAGAGTAATGGGGCCGATGTCACGCCTTATGAGATTAAAGATTTTGATATGTGTTGCAAAAATATTGGACTTTTGGACTTGAGATCGATTGGGTGTTTCTTTACTTGGAATAATAACTCCGTTTGGAGTAAACTTGATCGTGCTATGGTAAATGAGGCATGGATGCTTGAGAGTTTTAATAGTTTTGCTAACTTCCTCCCCCCGGGATGCCTCTCCGATCACTCCCTTTGTATTGTCACTTTGTTTGGGGAGGTTGAAAGGAAGCGGAGGCCATTTAAATTTTTCAACATGTGGACTCAGCATGATGAGTTCCTTGATTTGGTGTCTCTTGGTTGGAGTAAAGTTTTTGATGGCACGAAGCAATTTTCTCTTTGCAAGAAACTCCATTGCCTCAAAGGATTGCTTAAGAAGATGAATGAAAAACATTTTGCTCACATTTCCTCAAGGGTCGAAAATGCTTCCAAGAAACTTGATTTGGCACATGTGTAATTGCACAATGACCGAGAAAATCCTTATCTTAAATGTGAAGTTGTTCGTTTGAGAAAAGAGGCAAATACTCTTTGTGAAGCGGAAAGGAGTTTCTATGATCAAAAAGCAAAGTGTGTGCATTTGAAGAATAGTGACAAATGTACTAAGTATTTTCATTCTTTGGCTACGAGGAATGTCAAGAGGAATTTCATCCTGGCTATACGTAAGAGAGACGGGTTTTATTCTACCTCTCTCGAGGAGGTTGGCACCGAATTCACACATTTCTATAGTGAATTATTGGGGGGGAAAACTGTTGGACAGCATGCTAGTGTGGATGTTATAAGAAACGGACCGATGTTATCGGAGGAGAATGCTTCTTTACTTGTTCGGGATATTACGAGGCAAGAGATCAAAGAAGCTCTTTTTAGCATTGGGGATGATAAAGCCCCGAGCCCGGATGGATTTACTTCTTGTTTCTTCAAGAATTCATGGGACATTGTTGGTAATGATTTTATGGATGCTATCGACGAATTTTTTGTTTCGAGATCTCTTCTCAAGCAAATTAATCACACCATCTTAGCCTTGGTACCTAAGGGTACTCACTCTTCTTCGGTGGGGGATTATAGGCCTATTGCATGTTGCAACGTCTTTTACAAGGTAATCACTAAGATTCTTGCCTCTCGTTTGAAGCCTATGCTTGACTCTATTGTGGACCAAGCTCAATCCGCATTTGTTGAGGGTCGGAGTATGATTGAAAATATTCACTTGGCACAAGAACTTTTGAGACAATATAACCGTAAGAGGGTTGCTCCACGGTGCCTCCTCAAAATTGATCTTACTAAGGCCTTTGATTCGGTGAATTGGGAGTTTCTTGAAGAAGTTCTTGAAGGGTTGGAGTTTCCCAATTTTTTTGTTGATTGGATTATGGAATGTGTGACTTCTCCATCTTATTCCATAGCGATAAATGGTAGTCTTCATGGGTTTTTCAAGGGCAAAGAGGCCTTCGGCAAGGTGATCCACTCTCCCCTTACTTGTTTATTCTTTGCCTTGAATACCTATCTAGATTGCTAAAGGTGGCTACTTCGGATAGTAATTTCAACTTTCACCCCAAGTGTGCTCAATTGAAGATCACACACTTGGCTTTTGCGGATGACTTGATGTTATTTACTAGAGGGGATGTCAAGTCTTTGGATATTTTATTGAATTGCCTTTCGATTTTTGGAGGCATGTCAGGGTTGAATATAAATGTTGGGAAATCTAGTATCTATACTGCGGGTATTCATGGTAAAGATCTGGAGGATATTCTAGCTCTCGCAAATCTCCCCATTGGCTCCATGCCGTTTAATTACTTGGGTATACCACTTGCGGCGGAAAAATTGAAAGTTGGGTCTTATGATGTGCTCACAAATAAAATCTCATCTTATATTGATTCTTGGTCGACTTCCTCTCTCTCATATGCAGGTAGGACCGAGTTTGTGCAAGTCGTGCTCCAAGGTGTGGAATGTTTTTGGC